TGCTCCGCGGGAGAAAGATGAGGCTTTCTACTCCCGTAAAGATTTACACCCTCGGAAACCCTGTACAGGGTCGCTATGAGTCGGTTCCGACTCCACGGCACATAACAACAACAACAACAACAACATCTGCTTCTTTAAGGAGTCCTGGTAACAAACTGAAAGGTCAGCTGTTTAAATCTGGGAAAGATGAGACTTTCTGCTCCCATAAAGATTTACAGCCTCTGAAACTTTATACAGGGTCGCTGTGAGTTGGAAGCAACTCCACAGCACACACCGCCATGCTACCACCATTTGTTTCTTTGGAATCTCTGTGTGGTGCTACCCAAGAGGTAGCTACCCAAGAGGTTGGCAGTTCAGGTCCACTCAGAGGCACATCAGAGGCCTGGCATTCTACTTCTGAAAACTTTGTGGAGCACAGTTCTACTCTGACACACAAGGGGTTGTCCTGAGTCGAAGTAGACTCAATAGTAACTGATAATGATATTATTCCCTGGACTTCCAAGTGAATCCAAAGCCACCCCCTCCCCCCTTCTCCCCCACTCCCCTTTCAAATTCTCTCCTTTATTAATGAATCCCTTTGCTAACAGGAAAGTACCAGACAAAGAGTATACTATTGTTATTAAATTATTCAAAATAAAAATTTAAATGTCCTCTGAAATACCTATAGCCCCCAAGCCTCCTGGGATTTGTTGTTTTTAAGTCAGTTTCGACTCATAGTGACTCTGTATAGTGTTTCTGAGAAGCAGCTGGTGGGTTTTAACCACTGACCTTGTGGCTGCCAGTCCAGTACTTATCCAGTGCAAATACTCACAGGTATTTGTAAGAATTGTAATGATGAGTACACAGGTCACACATCCTGAACTGCTAGTAAATCACCCCTGGAAGGCACCTGCAGACATTCAAACATCCTCCTAAGTCCAACAAGGAAAACAGGGCTGAGTCTTTGATTGAAATGCGTAAGACTTTTTTCCTATTCAAATCTTTAAAAACATTTATAATATCTTACATGGTTCTGAAATTAAAATTAACTAAATTAACAACTGGAGTTTTTGTTTTCAAAACTGATAGGAATTTCAGAAATTATCTGATGGAGCTAGAAGAGCTAATGACTACACTAGCTCTGAACTTGGCTTGTTTTCATATCCACAGATTTCTAGTTCATCTGCATCTTTTCTGTTTTTCAAGTAAGATGTCATTTTCCAGTAAAAGTCAGATGTTATATTTTATATATGTATAAAATGTACACATCTATACAGCATATGGAGTCCTGGTGTGGTGCTGTGGGTTAATGCACCATACTGCAAAGCCATTTGAACTGCAAGATCGGCGGTTCAAGCTCACCAGCTGCTCTCTGGAAAACCTATACAGGGTTGCTATGGGTCAGAATTGACTCAACGGCACTTAACAACCACAACAACAACAATACAGCTTGTGGAGTCCCAGTATGGCTCTGTAGGATAAGCACTGGACTGCTAACCACAAGTTGGTTAGCTAAACCCAAGATGCTGCTTGGAAACCCTATAATGAGTTGCTATGAGTCTGAACTGACTTAACAATATTTAACAACAACAACAATACATTTTTTAAAAAAAGAAAAGGCTTGTTTTCTTCTTACATGAAATGTATTTGGGCAATTGAGAACTATCACTGTTGGTAGGGGCCATCTTTTTTCAAATGATCTTTGCGAAACAGAGAGTGTTTACCGACTAATCCTCTAACCCTTTCTTCCCCCTGAAGGATTTCATGTGTGTGCTGCTGGATGGATGGCCAAGGGCCGAGTTGGATATCCCATTGTGAAGCCAGGGCCACACTGTGGATTTGGAAAAACTGGTATTATTGATTATGGAATCCGCCTCAATAGGAGCGAGAGATGGGATGCCTATTGCTACAATCCTCATGGTTTGTTTAAAGAATTATTTTATAACTTTGCAAGAAGTTACATGCTACTAAGAAATTTTTGAAATAGAAATGGCTTCTTCTAAAGAGAATTCAAGTTGCCATTGATAATTATTAGTAATAATTATTACACTTATAAAGTGATTATGCTGAGCCAGGTACTGAGTTATATTTCTTCAACTACACTTTTACTTAGAGACCTGGTGTGGTGTTGTAGGCTAAGTATTAGACTACTAACCACAAGGTTGGTGGTTCAAACCCATCCGCTAATCCTCAGAAACCCTATACAATGTTGCTGTGAGCCAGAACTGACTCAACAGCACTTAACAACAACAATTGCACCCTTACTTAATTCTCACAATTCTATAAGGCATGATTTTCAGACTCATTTTAGAAATCAGGAAACAGACTTAAAGAAATTAAGGAATTTACTCAAAAGTAGCCAACAATTAATGAGCAGGTGAGATTGAGAAGTCAAGTCATTTCAATCTCAACAGGTAAAATTCTAGGTCACAAAAGGGGTGAAAAGCAGGTTATAAAATAGTAATAGGTAATAGCTAAAACAATAAAGTAATGTTATTAAATGCCAACTGTTCAAACTTATCTCTTTGATAGAATGGGCAAAAACAAGACAAAATAAACAAATTCTGTCCCCAATATCTTTTTGCACAGAATTCCTTAAGCTTTCAAACTAAGTAACTGTCATTCTGTGGTTTGTTGAAACAATTACATGCTAGATAAAGGTATTTCGCCTCCCTGAAAGAAGAAACTGTATCAAAATGAGGAAGTTAAGATGGCATTAATATAAAGGGGCAATGATATACTGCAAAAATGCTTCTATTAACACTTCTCTATTGCCTTTGTGTTCTACCTTTGAAAACAGTGGGAATGAGAATTCAGAGATCCTAACGTGGGTCATCAAACAAAAGAATCTGAGAACCACTAGAAACAGAGAAAAGGAATGTTATTGGTATATATATTGTAGTAAAAAGACATGTGTGGGAAAAAGAAAAATGATAGAGGAAAGAATGATACATGTTTTACTAACTATGAGGTACTGAATGAAATATGCTTAAAATATTAAAAGTGGAACTAAATGACATTACAAAAATTATTTTCTACTTTGCATACACATTATCTTGAGACTACATCACTGCAACCACAACTCTTTTTCTAAACACTTACCTAGCAACTTCTTTCCCATGACAAGTTATACAACTTGAATGAAATCTATAAAATGATTGTCCTGCCCCCACAGAACAAAATCCTTGTCATTTTGATAGGTGTTGATACCACATACCCAAACCCTACTGTCACTGAGTCAATTCAGATTCATTCTGTTCTATAAGAGAAGAGAAGTGCTGTGCAGGGCTTCCAGCATTGTAAGTCTTAAAGGAAGCAATCTGCCTTCCTTTAAGTATGGTGGGTGTGTTCCAAAGTATGGTGGGTGTGTTCAAACCACTGATCTAGCAATCCAAGTGTAACCCTCTGCTCACCCGGGCTCCTTGAATATGTAAGACCTATGTATTTTATACATTTAAAAGCCCAATTAATTACATTTCTATTTATTCTTGTTACTTTATTTCAGTTTGAATGCAAAGATAAACCAAAAACACAAACCCATTGCAATGGAGTCAATTTCAACTCATAGTGACCCCACAGAGCAGAGTAGAACTGCCCCATAAGGTTTCCAAGGAAGCAGATGGCCACATCTTTCTCTGTTAGAACAGCAGAACTTTGGGTTAGTAGCCCATTGTTTAACCACTGTGCCCCCAATTTATTTTAGAGAATTTAGAAATGATTTTTTTTTAATTATTTTTCAGCTATAAGTACAAGAGAGTTTCAAAAAGTTCATGGAAAAATAGAATGAAAACATAATGAAAAATTTCCACAAACATTATGAAGTTCCTTTATATGAATAATACTTGTATTACATACCAGTTGCCATCAAGTCTATTCATACTCATGAAGATCTCACATATGTCAGAGTAGAACTGTGCTCCACAGGGTTTTAAATAGCTGATTTTTTGGAAGCAAATTGTCAGGTATTTCTTTCATACATTGTTGTTGTTAAATGTCATTGAGTCAGGTCCAACTCATATTGGCTATTGTACAGGGTTTCTGAGGAGTGGCTGGTAGACACATAGTATAAGTGGGCCAAATCTTTAATCTTTCACAAAAAGTAATAAGTACTTAGGAACTTAAGAAGTAAACCTCATGTTAAGATAAAGATATAGTTTTTTCTAATGCTCTTTCCTCCCTTCTACTCTTCCTTCCCCCTCATTTCAGCAAAGGAATGTGGTGGTGTCTTTACAGATCCAAAGCGAATTTTTAAATCTCCAGGCTTCCCAAATGAATATGAAGATAACCAGGTCTGCTACTGGCACATTAGACTCAAATATGGTCAGCGTATTCACCTGAGTTTCTTGAACTTTGACCTTGAAGATGACACAGCTTGTTTGTCTGATTATGTAGAAATATATGACAGTTACGATGATGTTCATGGATTTGTGGGAAGGTACGTGTGATATCCTGAGGTCCTGTTAAGTGCTATCGAATCAATTCCGACTCGAGACCCTATACATGGTTTCCGAGGAGCAGTTGGGATTTGAACTGCTGACCATGTGGTTACCAATCCAGTGCTTATCCTAGAGCACTTGTTTGTTGTTAAGTGCCGTGGAGTCGGTTCCGACTCATAGTGACCTTGCACAGGGTTTCCGAGGCTGTAAATCTTTACGGGAGCAGAACACCTCATCTTTCTCCCGCGGAACCGCTGGTAGTTTCGAACTGCTGACCTTGAGGTTCACTGCCCAATTCGTAACCACTACGCTACCAGAGCTCCTTATCCTAGAGCACTACTCCATATGATTTCCCCATATCCCTGGTATTTTATTTGATGTTCTTTTGATTAACTTTACCCCATTGTCCCTACAATATTGATTTTCTAATATTCCTACACTCCTATGTGTTGTACTGCTAACCTCAAGGGCAGTGGTTCTAATCCACCAATTGCTCCATAGGGGAAAAGTGAACCTTTTGGCCCCTCTAAAAATGTACAGCCTCAGAAACCCTATACAGGGTCACTTAGAGTCAGAACCAACTCAACAACACACAACAATACAACAATAACACTATACCCTTTTTTAAAACATTTCTTTAGATTTAATTTCTTGATATGTTAAATCATGGCTGATGCTACATGTGCTTATCAAAATATTGCAGGTTTCCCTTTAATTATTATTCAATTATAAGAAATAGTTTATTTGTAAAACCTCATAATTTTGCTAACAATAGGAAAAAGAGATATGAATGTTGGAAAGTTGGTTGGCTTTTTTTAAACATTTCTATTTCTGCTAAAAGGCTTACAAATTCAATAAGCATTTCCTTCCTTTTGTGTACAAAGCATTTGCTAAGAACTATGACACTATGACGTAAGGTAAATAAGCAAAGTACAGTTTCTTTTTTCAATGAATTTGGTTAAAGAACCAATTAATGGATATGCTTAAAAATAGGTTTTAATCCCAATATTTTTCCTTTGGGTTTTCATCACATTGGTTCAGTCTTCTTTTATTCCCATCTCTAAGCATTATTCAATTTTAAATTTTGAGTGCTTTACAAAATACTGCAAAATTAAATTTAAAAAATTTTGTATTATCCATGATAATCAATTTAATAGAAGAAATTGGTAGTGGAAAGAGTTAAAAATGACAGATTCAATAGCTCTTTTTGTATTGTGCACAATCATCACAACTATGCATTCCCAAATCTTTTTTTCTCTTTCTCCTTTCTTTAAACCCTTTATTTACTTTCCCCTTTCTTCATTTGCGAGGAATTTCCCAGTGGTTTGTCCTAATGAGAAAATAAATATACATCTTTTTTCATCCAGTATATGGGTGGGGGAGACAGATGAAAAAAGGGAAGGAAGCAATTTCTTTTTCTTCTTTTTTCCTCCCTTTTCTTTTTATAAGTAGCATGTATCTACTATCTAACCTGTGAATAAGTCTTCCTTCCTACCCCTGGTAACCATCATAGAATGTTTATTATTGAATGGAAAACTTTATTCTACTTTATTTATTTAATACAATATCTGCCCTTTAGAGACGTACTAATTTCACTCAGCATAATGTCCTTCAGGTTCCTCCTTGTTACATTGTGTTTTGCAGATTCATCGTTACATGCCAGTGTTACATAATATTTAATAACTTTTTTATGTAATATGCAAGTGGCATCCTGATTCAGATATAAATCAAACTCTTTTATGTCCAAAAGGTTCAAAATAATGTTTTCATGTTCAGATTACCCTATCTTAAAATTCATAATGTGAATGTTGTTAAGCGCCGAGGAGTTAACACCAACTCACAGTGACAGTGACCTTCGAAGAGCAGCTGGCAAACCCACCCTGCAGTCCAGCACATTAACCCACAGCTCCACCTCAGGACTGTGACTACCATTAATCATACACCTAGGAGTCCTGATGTGACCCCATAGGATAAGCACTCAATCTCAAGGTTCATTTGAACCATAAAGTCAGTGGTTGAAATTCATCAGCCACTCCTAGAAAACCCTATGAATCAGAACCCCACTCTATGGTGCTTAACAGCAACAGCCATATGCCTAGGGTTCTGGTGTGGCACTGTAGGATCAGCACTGGAGTGCTAATCACAAGGTCTGAGTTCAAGCCCACCAGTTGCTCCTTGGAAACCTTATACAGGTTCGCTATGAGTTGGAACCCACTCGATGGCACTTAACAATAACAACAAACCACACATTTATTCTTCTGTAACTATGAAGGCAACTTCATGTTAGCCTTTTAATTTTTCCGATTATATTCAAGTTATCCATTACATAAATAATTTTGGAGCTAGCAATGTGGAAATGCCATATATCCTTTCTTAAGAATCTCATTAAAATGGTAAGAAGCAACAAACTTAGTTATAACTTCTCCCTTACAAATGAAACAGTAAAAAATTCAAAGATAATAGAAAAGTCATAACTTACTGAAATAAATCTTCTAATTACCAGGGCCATGTGAAATGATAATAATATTCATTCATGTGACATCTGTTGTAAATATCCTCTTTCAGATACTGTGGGAGTGAGCTTCCAGAAGACATCATCAGCACAGGTAATCATCTCAATTGAGGAGCAAACTATCATTTGTTTTCTCATCCCTGAGAATGAAGACACAATGGTTACTCATTTTTTAAACTTGAAAGAGCTAAGATCTGAGTAACTTGTAAAATGCAAATAAGTGTTTGTTATTTACACTTTTTAAAAGATTTACACCACTGTGAGTAAATAAATGCCTTGGACTGCTAGGTCTGCAAGGTTGGTTAGAATGGCAAAGTCAGTGGTTCAAGCTCACAAGCTGCTCCTTGGAAACCCTATACAGGGGAACCGACTCAATGGCACTTAGCAACAACAACAAATGATTTGTTGAATGTAAAACTGATGATCCTCTGTAAATTTTCACTCAATTTACAATCAAAAGCTTCCATTTAAAAAAAGATTTACACCAAGTCCTTGCATTAAAAATGTGGAGTCTTGTTTTTGAAAGAGATGCAGTCTAGCATAGTCTCAAATCAACAAATTCATAGATACTGCCATCACTTGTGATTTCCATAAAATGTACTGATAGATGATTGAACATTTTAATTGGCAAATGGCTAAAGTAATTTGTAAAGTTAAAAAAATATGTTGTCAGTAAAAAAGAAAAAAAAAAATTACATTGAATTTATCACATTTTTTATCTTAGTACAGCACTTCCCTTAAGAGTTTTCTGAGGAACACAATTCTGTGTGATGTTTTTAACAGGAGGTTACATGAGAAAAGAGCTCTAAGGTTAAGTAAATTTGGAAAACATTGGGTGAGATAATGTTAAATAGATTTCTTTATTGGTGAACTTGCAGAGCTTTTAATATGGTAATTAATCATTATAAATCTTAAAGACTAAACATAATAGGCCATGTTTGCAAATCCTTCCACCCACTGCCCCTGCAAATTATTTTGTGAGATTTTGTTCCATTAAATATATATACAGCAAGAAATGTCCCTGTGGGACATAAATTTATCTCAATAAGCAGTATCATCCTAAATTATCCCAAACAACTATTTTCTGACTAAGAAATTTCACTTTTGTAGATGTTTCCTCTTTCTCTATTTTCAGCATCAGCACCAGCAGTTGGTTTTCTTCTGTGCTCTAGTTTCCCTTCATATCATAACTTACCATCATGTTTCTCCAACTAAAAACAACAAAGCTACCGGAGGGTTCCAACCACCAACCCACGGTTAGCAGCAAAGGCATACGCATTTCATCAGCAGGGGTCCTTACAAAGCTACGTTGATGTTGTTGTTAGTGCTGTCTAGTCAGTTTCAATTCATAGCCACCTTGAGTAAGTTTCCAAGGAATGGTCGGTGGGTTTGAAGGATTGACATTGCAGTCCAAACTGACCTTGAGAGTTTATCCTCTAGGGCCACACCAGGACTTTGTTGTTGTTATGTGCCGTGGAGTCGGTTCCAACTCCTAGCGACCCTGCATAGGGTTTCGGAGGCTGTAAATCTTTACGGGAGCAAAAAGCCTCATGTTTCTCCCGCGGAACAGCTGGTAGTTTCAAACTGCTGACTGTGAGATTAGCAGCCCGATTCGTAACCACTTACGCTTGTTGTTGTTAGACCCATAGCGACCCTGTATAGGGTTTCCAAGGAGCAGCTGGTGAGCTTGAACCGCCGACCTTGCAGTTCAAACGGCTTTGCAGTCTGGCACATTAACCCACACACAGCACTAGTAAGATGAAATCTTACAAGCTGTAGAAGGCAATTGGGAAATGAGAATCCCGTTTTTAAAAATGGAGTCAAGAAGTGTGAAAACATGTTTTGTCTGTTACTCCAATTATAATCAAATCAGTTTTTTCTTGCACAACTCCAAGAAACTGGGGATGAGGGGGCAGGGAGGAAGGGAAGCTAGAAAATTTATTATTCAAAGACTAACAAATCAGCTAATAAAAAAGGGTATGTTGTTGTTAACTGCTGTTGTTAAGTGTTTATCCTATAGCACCACATCTGGACTCCAAATTAATGATATTTAGATTATTCTAATTCTGATTTTCTCTCTTTTGGTTACTATTTGGTATTTTGATGAGCATTTTTAAAGCTTTATTTTACATAATTTGTTTTTGTAACATACTGGATTCCTCAAAGTGAGACTTTTAGAATGAGGGGATATGTGTTTTAAATGTTAATAAGAAATTGTCAATTGCAATGCATCCTGACCTTACAGGACAGACAGGAGCAGATAGGAGCAGACAGTCTCATTTTTCTCCCACAGAGCATTTGGTGGGTTTGAACCTCTGATCTTGTGGTTGACAGTCCAAAATTAACCCACTGCACCACCAAGACTCATTAAATGGTGATGTTGTTATTAAGTGCCATCAACTTGGTTCCCACCCCTAAGGACCCTGTATACATTGGGTTTCCAAGGAAAGACTGGTGAGTTTGAACCACTATCCTGAGATTAGCAGTCCCGGATTTATCCTACACCAAATACTTCTAAATTGCCACTAGCCCTACTCTGTCAATTTGCAGTTTAACCCCAAGAATACCACATTCTTTCTAAATGTAAGAACAAAGACGTTTTATTGTTGGTTTAATTTGCATTTCTTTATAGTGCATTTTGAACATCTTTTTATATGCTTATTGTCCTTTTGTCACCTTTGAATTTCCTATTTATGTTGTTAAGTGCTGAGGAGTCTCAGCAGGTTCCAACTCAGAATGACCTTGTATGGGGTTTCCAAGAAGTGGCTGGTGAGTTTGAACCACAGATCTTCTGGTTCAAACCAATCTTGCAGTCTAGTGCTTTATCCCACAGCGCCACACAGGCATTGGTATTCTTGGAAGCTCTTCTTTTCTTTATTTATAACAACTGTTTGTATATTAAGGATATAGTTGTTGTTGTTAAGTGCCCTTAAGTAATTTGACTCATAACTATCCCATATAGAGTTTCTGAGAGCGTCTGGTTTGGGTTTGAAATACTGAATTGCTAACCTTGCAGTTAGCAGTCCAGTATTTATCCTACAGAACCACCTCAGAGTTCCTCTGTCACCATGTTGCTGTTGTTAAGTGCCATGGAGTTGGATCCAAGTTATAGCTACCCTGAATAGAGTTTCTGAGGAGATGTTGATGGGTCTGAACTGCTGACTTCATGCTTAACAGTCAGTCCAGTGCTTATCCTACAGGGCCATGCCAGGACTCCTCTTTTACCATACCCCTAAAAAAGTCTTCTATAATTTAGGCAACTCTTCCATGTACGGTATAAAGCGCAGTGGATCAGAACACAAACTGGAACAATACTGCCTAGGCTCAAACCCTGACTCTACTAGTTTAGTTCTATGTCCTGGATCCATTTACTTAGGCTCTTTGTGCCTCTGTTTCACATCTGTGAATGAATATTTTCATGGTCTCTCCCTCAAAGTGTTAGTGTAGGAATTAAAGCATGGGTAACTAGATAAAAGACACTTAAAGGTGTGCTTGGCAAACACTGTCATTCAATCTATCTAAGAGTTCTTGTTTTTGGTTTCATATTTAAATGAATTCTGAATTTGTTACCTTTATTAAGAACTTTTACTCCTAAATAAGAAAAAATATCCGTTGGCAAAGAAAAGCATTTCATATTCGTGTTGACCTCCATGTTTTTGAGTTCCCACACAGAAAGTGTTTCTATATACTTAACGTACAAACAAGGAAAAATGTAGTTGATAATTAGGAAAACCTAGCCCTAATGGCTCAGTGGGTTAAATGCTGGGTGCAAGGGCCAAGGTTTAAACCCATCAGCTGTTCTGTAGGAGAAAGATGAGGCTATGTGCTCCCATAAAGATATGTAGTCTCTGTGAGTTAGAATAGATTCAGTGACCATGGATTTATTTTTCTATATGCTGATGCCATAGAATAAGCACTTGACTTCAAGGTCTGTTTGAACCATAAGACCAGTGGTTCAAACTCACCAGCCACTCCCCCAAAACCCTATACATGGTCCCTATGATTGGAACCGACTCATGGCACTTAACACCACAACAAATGTTTCCTTAAAGTAGAGATCTTACAAATGTAAAGCTTGTTGTCCTGTAAAATTATCCAGTTAATAACCCATTCAAACCTCATTAAGGAGGCCTGGCTGCACAATGGTTAATGTTGGGGCTCAAACCCATCAGCCTCTCCAGGTAAGAAAAGACCTGGTGACACTCTCATAAAGACTTCTGCCTAAAATACCCTGTAAGGCAATTCTATTCTGACCCATAGAGTCGCTATGTTGACTTGCTGACATATAATAACAACACACCAAATTGGGATGCTCCTACCAGAAAAAGTATCTTTTTAAACAAGATAGATAAAATTTCTTGTAGGACAGATACAGGAAGAAAAAGGACAGGATGTTTCCTGCCCTACTCCACTTGGCCATGAAATCACAGCTTCATTGCTTGAGAATTCAGATCTGAATTCTGAGTCTTGCTCATGAATTCCTCTATCCTTCTATGAGAATGATGAGCCTTTGACTTGTTTGGCAAATTGAAGGAGTAATATTTTTGTTCTTTCACATCTCTACCTAGGAAATGTCATGACCTTGAAGTTTCTAAGTGATGCTTCAGTTACAGCAGGAGGCTTCCAAATTAAATATGTTGCAGTGGATCCTGCATCCAAATCCAGTCATGGAAAAAATACAAGTGCTACTTCCACTGGAAATAAAAACTTTTTGGCTGGAAGGTTTAGCCATTTGTAAAACAAAAGAACTTTCAGAATATACAGTGTTTGTATTTGCATCCCTTGGAACCCCTTGGATCTCACTTTTTATATTATTATTAATACTTATTTATTATTTTTTTATTTGAAGTCTCATAACCCCACTGCATAAAAACAACAATCTTAATGTTTTTATATATTTTATTTCAGTCATTTTTCTATTTGTGATATATGTATATATGCATGTATATATATTTGTATTTGAATTTTTGGAATCTTCCTCTAGGTAGTTTTACAATTGGGTTCTTCTATCCTTAAAGTTTATCGCATAAGCCTTTCTCAAATATGATTTTATTTTTTTCAATTATTGTTTCATACTTTATTTAAACCTTTCTGTGTGGTTGGAATGTTAGGTTGTTGTCATAAATACTGCTACAATAAACATCTTTGAACATACACATGTGTGCAACTCTCTAAATTATTTGAGATAGTACCCTAGAAGTAGAATTATTTGAATTAGAGGTTAATCAAAATAGAATTTCCCTTTTTGATAGGCAAAATTGATATTTCATTATCTCTTAAATTGTCACTTCATTAATGACATTGATCATCAGTTTAAATATTTTTTACTTATTTTATTTCTTTGGTGAATTGTGTTCCCATGCTTTACTAATATAATCACCCATTTTTATTAGCATAATCTTTTCTCTTGATTTATAAGAAATCACTACATATTAGATATATAATTCCACATCTATCACATTTACTGTAATTTCATTATAAGTTCCTATTTACCTTTTACTTTTATAGCACTTTGAAAGATGTACTAAAAGTTAATATTATATATTCCTGAGTTTTTGTGTACATCCCCCCCAAAAAAAACTCACAAAAAACAAATAATGTTGAATGATGATGCACAGAAGAGATTGTAATTATTGCAATGAAACGATGGTATAAAGCCAATGTTCTTCCATGTAAACTATCACACAATTCACAGTAAAAACTTAAAAAAAAAAAAAGTTAATACATATTTGCAGTCATACTTAACGATTTTTGTTTTGATTTTCATGTTTTTATGCTTAGGGTGACTGTGGTGCTACAGCATAAGTGCTAGACCACAAGGTTGGTTTGAAGTGCAAGATCAATGGTTCAAACCCACCAGTAGCTCCTTAGAAACCCTATACAGGATTTTTATGAGCTGGAACTGACTCGATGGCACTTAACAACATACCTATTATAGGAATCCAGACGTGATGCTGTTGGATAAGCCCTGGACAGCTAAAAACAAGGTTGGTGGTTCAAACCCACCAGAAACATCTTGGAAACCCGTATTACAGGGTCACAATGAGTCAGAATTGACTGAAGACACATAACAATAACAATTCCTATTATAAGATTCATTTTATATTTCTTTCTTACTTTATGGCCTTGCTTTCTTTAGTGGGAAAATAATAGTTTCGACTCTGTGAGGGACAGAAGTCACCATAAAATTAAATTCAATAAAAATATATATACTCAGCACAGTTCTAGGCACTTGGGAAATACCAGTGAACCAAATTAAAAAAGATTCCTACACTTGAGATTTTTCTAGTGTGGGTGAACAAGCAATAATTAATAAGCAACATATTAGAACAAATAAATTACCAATGGAAAAGGAAGCACCAGGGAAGAAGACTGAAAAGAACCAAAGCGTAAATTAGGAAGAAAATCACTTGGGGTCTGGGAAAACAAACACACACAGGCAGAAGCAGCAATCAGTTGTATTAAATACTATCAATAAGTCTAAGAAGTGAGTCCTGAAAAAGATGATTGGGTTTAGCGACATGAAGATAGTCAGTTACCTTGACTAGCAAGTTACAGTGTTGGGCGGGGGTGGGCGGTGGAAGAGAGAAAGACTCAAATCGGAGTATGTTTAAGAGTGAACTGTTAAGTGCCATCTAATTGGTTCCAACTCATAACAACCTTGTACATAGCGTTTCTGAAGAGTTGCTGGTGGATTGGAAACACCAATCTACGCTGGGAGTCTAAGTAAACCATAGAAGAGGAACTGAGAGCAAGTATGGTTGTCAAAGAAGTGATGGTTTCAGGAGAACTGGGTTGAAAGAAGGTTTTCTTTTATAAATTGGTTTATTTCACAGCAGGTGTTGTTCTGATAAGAAAGAGCTTAGATGGAGAAGGAACAACTGCTGGGGCCATTTCCTTGACTGTGGTAGTCAGGATCTCACAGGAAGCAGATGGTACACTCTAGAGAGGGAGACAGATGTGGGCTGCCCTGAGGGCAGTTCACAGGGGAGGTAAATCTCCCAGTGCTCATCACAGCAAGAGGACTACTTCATGAAGAGGCAAAAGCAGGGGCAGTTATTAGAACCTTTACAAGTAGGAAAGTTTAGCCAACCAAGCTGGAACAGAATTCCAACCCAAGGCTGACGGAGGGGACTGCAGGTAAATACCTCAATTTCTTCCATGCTTTTATGTCCTGCCAGTGCCTCCCATTGTCTAAACCCAAGCAGAAATCATAATACCAGGAAACTTTGTTGATGCTGTCCACGAAGGTAGGTTCCAGGGTCCACAGTAGAAATGAGAAGATAGGGACAAATGGAGGATATCTAACATAATAGGTGAGGGATGACATCTAGTGCACAGAGAGACTAGGTTTAGATACGGGCATGGAGACTACACTGAGAAGACAGTCCATCTAAGTACATCTTAACTCTTTCATGCTGTGAACCCTTTGATAGGTGAAGCATACAGACACTATTCAGTTTTTAAATGCATAAAATCAATAGCAGTACAAATAAAACAAATTTTATTCAAGCAGTTATATGTAAAATCAAATGTGTGATGTATGAATGCATGTGCTTCTTTATTAATTTTGTAAATAAGATCTAGCAATAAGTCTAGTAACTATCATAATTTAAAAAGAGTGATACGTGTGTACAGTATTTAGAGATATTTGCAAAACCTATTTCATATATAAAAGTATCTATGTTTAGTAAGGTGGAGGTTCAGAGGAAAAGAGGAAGACCCCAACAAGATGGATTGGCCAAGTGGCAGCATCGATGGACTCAAGAGTGGCAACAGTAGTGAGGTTGGCCCAGGATCGGGCAGTGTTTCGTTCTGTTGTGCATAAAGTGCTATGAGCCGTTATGACTTGATGGCATCTAACAACAACAATGATGTAGATTAGCATAGTGATTAAGAATCAGGGCTGCTAAGGTCGGCAGTTCGAAACTACCAGTTGTTCCGTTGGAGAAAGATGAGGCTTTCTGCTCCCGTAGAGATTCACAGCCTCAGAAACCCTGTACAGGGTCGCTGTGAGTCAGAACTGAGTCCATGGTACTTCACAACAATGATGTGTATTGGTGACAGAAGCGTAAGTACTATTAGCACTCTTGTAGTTTACTACCTACATTCATAGTGAATGAAATGCAAGACAGATTTCAGTATTAATGGAAATAAAGATGCTTTGCCCCATGTAAGATCTCTGGCCTCCAGAATTTGATAAATAAACTCTAAGAGACTAAAAGAAATTGATATCAAAAAGGGTTACAGGTGGCCTCGTTCCTACTTGCTTTGTATTTCTCAGTTAAAGAAGAATCAAATAACAATCTAAAAATGAGCATGGAGAAGTAGATACAAAGATTGCAGAAGAGACGGCATGAAACAATCTTCTTAGAACGTGGGAAAGGGAATAGACTTGGAGAAAGGGAATAGCATATGGTTATCAAGCACCATTAAGATCCATAGTCATGGACTGCAAAAGGAGACCAGTCCCTAAGGCTATATTTTCCTCATGCCATCTGGGTAGAGACATTAGGTAGAAAGTTGGGTTAACCAGTAAGTTAGCTCACTTGCCAAATGAGTATGCTGAATGGGGTAAGGGAGTAGAGAGTATATATACAGTGGAGTGAGTGACTGTAATGACCACCCACATAATTTAGTTTAATAAAGATGGACAGAGGTTGAGGTAATGAGAATCAGTAAAAAGACGGTAGACTCCATGATTTGAAGATCCCACAATTCTCAAAAGATATGGAATCAGCGTATTAAAGAAATAAATAAAAAGGAAGTAGTGGCCTGAGAATGGGATTTTAAATAGAACCTTCTGTGTTAAGCAGAACAATGTACCCACTGCCCTGAAGAGGTCTACATCCTAATCCCTGAAATCTGTAAATATTTTGTTCCCTTACATGGCAAATGGGACTTTGCAGATGTCATTAAGTTAATGACCTTGAGATGGGGTAATTATTTTGGATTTCCAGGTGGGTCCAATATAATTACAAGGGTCCTTAGAAGTAGATGAAGGAGACAGAAAAAGAGGAATCAGAGAAAGATGTGGTGATGGAAGAAGGGTCAGAGATAAGCTTTAAAGATGAAGGAAGGGTACCAGGAGCAAGAAATGTGAGCAGTCTAGAAGCTGGTAAAGGCAAGGAAACGGTCCAGCCTTGCTGACACCTTGATTTTAATCTGGTGAGATCTATATTATTAGTCTTCTGAACTCTAGAACTGTAAAGTAATAAATATGTGTTGCTTTAAGCCACTAATTATATGGTAATATTTTATAGCAGCAGTAGAAAAAGTTTGTTACTGTTTTGTTACTAAGTGCCATTGAGTCGGCATCTGACTCACAGTGACCCTGTACTGAGTTTCCGAGGAGCAGCTGATGAGCTTGAACCACCAGCCTTTCAGTTCAAGCCGACTTTACAGTCCAGCGCATTAACCGACAGGACCACAACAGGACTCCAATAGAAAGTTAATGTATCTTTTAGTCAGTTTCATGCAGATTCAGACTTCGAAGAGTCCAAATATAATTCTAGATGACAAAGGATTAGTGAGAAGAAACAGTAAACAAAAATATATCTTTTTTTCTAAACTCAGAAAGATTCACTTAATTAATTATCATTTAAGGTTAACAAAACATTCTTCTGTTTATACATTTTGCTGCCTGTATCTAATACTCTTCCACTTCATTACTCATGAATTTTGTTTCAAGCTTTTTTTTCTCACCTTCATAGGCTTTTTAGTTTTATTAGAATCTCTATTTTTTTGTTGTCCTTGGAAGTCTTAATGAATGAAATTTAAATAGGAACGTGAAGAACATGAGTAAAATTTAAAATATCACACACTCTAGCATTGTAAGGTATAGTTGG